AAACACTAAAAAACGAAGTCCACAGTTCAACAAATTAATTAGTCGTTAAATTAATATTTTAATCTGACAATTTCATTTAAAACCCGTCTATTGTTATGTATATCTAGCATAACAAATGTTTTAATTACAAAGCTTAAATGTTTTTAATTATAAATAAATAAACGTGAAAACTAATACAATTTGAATTTAATTCATTAAGTTGAAAAAGTTTATAGTATATTATTTAAAAACGTATCGTGCTTACATTCCAAAAAATATGTCTTAAAGCCGAAGTATTTCTAATTGGAAAAATTTGGACGTGCATAATTTGAATTTCTTACATTTCTCAGCCTTGTGTATCACAGGTAGTGGGCGGAGCTAAAATGAACTGCTCTGCAAGTTATCCAATCAAATGTTAGGGTTATTTCAGCGATCGCAGTTAAATTATGTTTTAATGAAGTGTTAAAAAGAAGATCTAAAGTAAGATTAATACTGAAACAATTCCATTTAAACCAAAAAGAAATAAAATGTAGGTCACACACTAAGTTTATACTTACAAATTGACACATTTATAAAAATATTTAATTACTGGTATATTAAAAAACTGAATCTCATTAAAGATAACACCAAAGTTTCTCACTGTTGCATTTGTGCAAAAGTAAAACCATCCAGTGTAGAAGTGAAGTTTACAGTAATCAATTTTGTGATTAGTTTAAAAATATATAAATATATACATACTGTTGTGGTGGATGTAGCAATACCAAGTGACCACAACATCAGGAAAAAGGAGCATGAGAAACTGGAGAAATACCAGGGCCTCAGAGAGGAACTGGAGAAGGCCTGGAAGGTGAAGACCACAGTGGTGCCTGTGGTCATCGGGGCCCTCAGGGCAGTCACCCCCAAACTGGAGCAGTGGCTCAAACAGATCCCAGTTTGAGCCACTGAAATCTACCACAGCATTACTTACCCTCCACCGTACCCAACAGTGGATCATCAGACATCTCAGTCCAGAAATGTGCAGTTCTAGGGACAGCCAAGATACTGCGCAGAACCCTCAAGCTCCCAGGCCTCTGGTAGAGGAGCTCAGAGGATGAAAGAGACCACCCGCAGAGGGAGAGAAGGGAATTTTTTTTATATATATATATATATATATATATATATATATATATATATATATATATATATATATATATATATATATATATATATTGTATATCATTTATATAT